TAATTGAACATTTGAACAAAGAATTCTAGTCTCTTCCCAGAATTGATTGTCCTAGCTAATCACCTGTTAAGACCAATTAATCTCAGAATATTTTAAAATGTTGCAATAGTAATGTATTTTAGTATGTGATATAACAAGCTATTGACAAACTGCTATTGTTTTTTAGATTAATGAGAACATTTAAAATTTTTTATTTTTATTTTTTATTTTTTGACTACCTGTTATTTTAGTAAAACTGATGATGGTGGAAAACACCGAAACGTTTTTTTAAATTGATAAATGAACAATAAATAAATGACTGAAGAACCCAGGACTTGATTTTAATTTTGGAATAACAATTAGCATCACGGTTGCCTAGGACATCAGTTTCAGATATATTTACGCAATCATCAGGGTTTCAAGAGAGTAATGATTGTAACAAGTCATTCAGTTATTAATATCAAACAAAGACAAGCCACCACATAACTAGAATCAAATATAATTGATAAAGTACAGAATCCATGTTCTTTAACGCTAAATTTAAAAATCTAATTAACAAAAAAAACATGGTATCCTAGACATGATCGCTCATTCACCATAAATTTGTTTTGTTTTTTGTCATCAACAAGATAGCATCTTCTTCTTTTAGCCGTTTTTAGCGTCCAGGATTGAACATATGTCTCTCTTAGTTCTCTCCATATATATCCTTGCTGATCTCTAGCATTTCCTTCTTATTTCTGGTTTCCTGCTGCTTGGAGCCTTTTGAGGCCATTAATTATTTCCTACCGTTGTTCCCTCCCTCCGTAGGAATCTCACGTTTTTAATATTTTCTATTGCATTTTCTACTTCCATTATATAGTTTCCTTTCAAAGCCAATAGCAAATGATTATATTTGTCTTTGTCTAGTGCTTTCCCGATGTCCTCATACGGAATCAATGGCGTGTTATTGTTGCTGTTGCTTCTGGAGACTTTTAGGTATTAATTAGTTTCCTATTTTGAATATTAGTATACTCATTATTGTGCAGTTAAAATATTTATGTTGAGTTTAACATTTATAATTAGCAACTTTGCTAATTAATTGATAACTTTCGCCAGCCACGTTTTAAATGTTAAAGCATAAACTATGTACTTATTGGGGTCTGACATGGGTTTGGACATGTGTCTGATGTGGTTAATGGGAAAACGTTTTCCAACTTGACACGACTTTAATAACGCCGACCGGACACATGCTTGCATTAATTTGTTTTTGGCCGGAATGTACAAAAGTTTGCAATAAATTTGAAAACGAAGTCTTTCACTAAAATATAAATAAACTGTCGTCTTGGACATGAATTTAAATTGAAAATGTAGTTCTTGACAATCTTGTGAACATTGGCGGAACTATTCAGCATTCGAGTAAAAATATGCAGCCCAAAGCAAATTAATTACAACCGTAGCCAAGAGGATATTTACTGAAATAAATTCAACTTAAATGGATTTCAGAAGCAATGCGTATTTTCTCAGGGAAAGGATCTTAAATATTCGGTAGGTTTACTTTCACTTGAATAAATT